TCAGTAGAACAGCAGTAAGATCAAGAAAAGGATTAATAGGTTTAGAGACTAGAAAAAAAACAAAGATGCTTATTTTTTTTGAAGAAAGTATAGAAAACTATAAGAAGTCTTTAACTAATTCCTAGAATTAGTAATTTAGCACTTTCAACAAGATATATTGTGTTAATATGTAAAAATGTATTGGTAACAATTGGAGAATTGTTTTTATTTTTCTGAAAGAGAGAGGTATCTTCAACAGAGTCTCATTATACCATGATTTCTGCCCTTGCCAGGATCTCAGATGTCCCTGTGACATACTTGGGCTGTTCAGTTCAACCAGCATCCAAATCCAGGGCTGTCCTGTATGATTGTAGCATTGTGCGCCAGTGCCTTCCTGTATGCACCACCACAGTTGGTCTTGGAAAATAAAATGTAAAAATACTGTTGGTGGTAGTACAAAGAAAAAAGGAAAAAAATCATACTCTGTAGCCACTCCTCACTTAACAATCTACCTGTTTAACAACTGTTCAGGGGACCAGCAGATGGCGTAATGGTTACATTGCTGAACTTTCATGTAGCCAACCATGGTTCAAGTTCTGGACCCGGTGACTTAAACTCATGCCAGGTGCATGTGCATGCATGCTCAAAATGATGAGAGGAGGATGGAGGAGAAGGGATTGTGGCATGGCCATCCCCCTTGGGGAGTGATTTCTTGCTTTCTGTCTCTCTGGTGAGTGTGCATGCCCCTACAGCAGAAATCTCTCAAAACAAACAAAAAACAACAACAACAAAAAACTGCTTGGATTTAAAAGCAGTTCTCCAGTAATTAGAATCTCCTTTCAAAGTCTGTGTGAGTCTCCAGAATTCCCTTTCTGAGTCTTTGTTTCCTTCTGTAGGCAGTTAGTATTCACTACACAAAGCATCGGTAGTCACATCAGACTACATATTTCATTTATACATTTGTACTTTTTTTTTTTTTTTTGGAGAGATTTTCACTGTAGGGCGCGTGCGCTCGCCAGACAGACAGAGAGAGACATAGAGACAGAAAGTGAGAAATCACCCCCCAGGGGGGATGGTCACGCCGCAATCCCTTCTCCTCCATTCTCCTCTCGGGATCTTGGGCACGCACGCACATGCGCCCGGTGTGAGTTTTAAGCCACCGGGTCCGGGACACGAACCGCGGTCGACTACGTGAGAGTCCAGCAACATAGCCATTATGCCAACTGCTGGTTCCTTATACATTTGTACTTTATTATACACCCATAATACAAGATATTGACAAAAAGGAACAATGAATTCACCTGGACGAAATGCCAAGATTCAAAGGAAGGCTATGGATGTTGAAATGATAATGAAGCTTGTATGGAAGCAGTACCTGGCTAAGTGGTTAAGGTGCTGGGCTCTCATGTAGTGGACCATGGTTTGAGTCCTGGACTAGGCGGTTTGAAACTCAAGCTGGACGTATTTCCAAGATCTCAGGAGGAGAATGGAGGAGAAGGGATTGTGACCTGGCCATTTGCTCTTTGGGTGGTGATTTCTCACTTTCCCTCTGATTGTCGTGTCCACTCCCTACCCTCTACCCCCACCCCCCCACCTCCCATGAGTCGTATGAACCTTAGGCAAAAACCTCAACCAAAAAAAAAATAATAAGAGTTAAATAGCATGTGATTTAGGGCTAGCGCATTCCACCATTTTGATGATCTTGAAAGATAGTGTTGAAGAGGCAACAAAAAAGCATTGGTAGGACTTAAAGCCATAATAATTAGGCAGTAAAAGGCCTCATCTATGATA